AACTAGCAAGCCCATGAAAACTTCTTACCTCTCTCACACTCTTAGGAGTTGGCCATTCTTGAATTGCTTTTATTTTCTCTTTATCTACATGCACTCCACTAGAATTAACCACAAATCCTAAGAAAACAACATGGTCCTTACAAAATGTGCACTTTTCCAAATTAGCATACAATTTTTCTTTTCTTAGTACATGCAAAATAGATTTCAAATTATGCAAATGCTCATCCAAATTTTTGCTATATACAAGAATATCATCAAAGTAGACAACCACAAATTTTCCTAGAAACTCTCTCAAAACATGGTTCATCAATCTCATGAAAGTACTAGGGGCATTTGTCAAACCAAATGGCATCACTTTCCACTCATACAAGCCATATTTGGTTTTAAAGGTTGTTTTCCACTCATCACCTTCTCTAATCCTAATCTGATTATATCCACTTTTCAAATCAATTTTAGAGAAATAACAAGATCCATACAACTCATCAAGAAGATCATCTAACCTGGGAATGGGATGTCTATACTTGATAGTGATGTTGTTAATTGCTCTACAGTCAGAACACATCCTCCAACTTCCATCCTTTTTGGGCACTAAAATAACAGGAACAGCACAAGGGCTCAAACTCTCCACAACCCAACCTTTGTTCATCAAGTCAGAAACTTGGTTTTGAATTTCTTGGGTGTCTTGGGGATTACTCCTATATGCTGGTCTGTTAGGTAACACAGCTCTTGGAATCAAATCAATCTGGTGCTCAATACCTCTCAAAGGTGGTAGTCCTGATGGTATTTCTCCTGGAAAAATATCTTGAAACTCCTGCAAAATAGATTTAACTCCACTAGGAAGTTCAAGATCAGAATCAAATGTAGCAATCTCTTTATTATAAAGTAAATACATAGACTTTCTTGCTATTAGAGCTCTTCTCACCTCACCACTCTTTACAAACAAAATATTTTTCCTTTCTTTCTCTTTATTTTTAAGCTCTTGACCTCTCTCTTTATTTTTGCTCTCTTTTTCTATTTCTTTCTTTTCTTTTCTCTCTTGCTCTCTTTTTCTTTCATGATATTTTGATCATCACAAACCTCTTTTGGAGACAGTGGAACAAGAGTAACCTTGTGGTTATCATGGTGGAAAGTGTATTTATTTATGTGACCATCATGGTGAGCTTTTCTATCAAATTGCCATGGTCTTCCAAGAAGCAAATGACTAGCTTCCATTGGAACAACATCACATAGAACTTGATCCTTATATTTCCCAACATAAAATTCAATCTTCACTTGCTTATCCACCTTCAATTCTCCTTCTGCACTTAACCATTGCAACTTGTATGGCCTAGGATGGGGTTTGGTATCCAAATTCATTTTTGTGACCAACCTAGTGCTAACAACATTGGTGCAACTCCCGCCATCTATGATCAATTAGCACAACTTCCCTTGGATAAGGCACCTAGTATGGAATATGTTTTCTCTTTGGCTTCCTTCATTTTCCTTGGCTATCCCACCTAACATCCTTCTCACAATGAATAAGTCTCCTTCAGGAATCTCCTCTACTTCTTCACTCTCTTCTCCACTAGATGGTTCTGATTCGAAACTCTCACTAATAATCTCTCCATTATCTTTTAACACCATAACCTTCTTAGTTAGACACTCAAAATCTATGTGTCCTCTACCCAATCACTTAAAACACTTTATATCTCTAGATCGAGACTTGTTATCCACTTCTTTACCTTTGTTTTGGGTAGGTTGTGGTGCTGCCATAGGTACCCTAGAAGATGAAGTTCCCTCCTTCTTAAACCTCTCCTTCCACCTAGAATTATCAAAATTAGAGGAACTTTTTCTCACACTCTTTCTTTTTAATTGTTGTTCCACTTTCATGGCATGGTGAACTAGGTCTTCCATCTCTACATAATTTTAAAGCTCAACAACATCCCTTATGTCTCCATTCAGCCCATCAAGAAACCTAGCCATGGTAACCTCTCTTTCCTCCTCAACATTGGCTCGAATCATAGCTATTTCTAACTCCTTATGATATTCATCCACACTCCTACTACCTTGGGTAAGCCTTTGCAGCCTATTATGCAACTCTCTATGGTAATGGGATGACACATACCTCTTCCTCAAAACTCTTTTCAGCTCTTCCCAAGTCTCCAACATAGGCTCTCTATACCTCCTTCTTTCCTTTTGGAATTGATCCCACCATACTAAAGCATAATCAGTGAATTCTAAGGTGGCTAACTTAATCTTTCTCTCATCACTTAGGGTATGGCATGAAAAGATTTGTTCAACTTTCAACTCCCACTCCATATAGGCTTCAGGATCACTCTTTCCCCTAAAAGGTGGTATATTCACTCTAAATCCCTCATTTTTGTCCACCCTAGGTTCCTCCTCATTTTCTCTCCTTCTTCTTCTTTCTTGTCTCTCATCCCTTCTTCTATCTCCATTTTGTTCTTCCTCTCTATTTTGGTTTTGATTTTCTATATTATCAAGCCTCTCATAAATCTCTTCAGTATGCTCCCTCATTATCTGATTCATCCTTTGAGGTAATGCATCTAGTAGCAACCTATGTTCTCTAGGAGGTGATTTCTCTCTTTCAGCCATACTTCTAATTTTATGATAAAATAAGATCCTCACCAAAGTGTTTCACTCTAAGTGTTTCACACAAGAGGCTTTTAAGCAAATGTATCTCTCTTGCCTTTTTCCACTCTTCCTCTAGCCTAAGGTTCTTACAAGCTTCTCTAATCAATTACCAAGAAGTAAAAGACAAGTGACTATCAAGAAAGGCTCTAAATTCATATTATGGCACCACACAAAGAAGTAGTAAAGAACAATTCTACTACCTAACAAACACAAAAAAAGACAAGCATGCAAGGAATTATTTGGACAAAATTGAGACAAGAAAGAACAACACAAACAAAGGGAAGGGATTAAGAATAAAGGCACAAGATAACTAAGAATTTGAGTGCTTAGTTCCTTATAGGTCCTACACTTCAAAAGCTTAAGCACAAGCTTCAACTCTTCTAAAATTCAGTAAACTACACTTTCAAAGTCAATTGTAAGTTTCAGCCACACTACAAGCCACCAAACAACCACTTCACACTTGAATTCAAGTCTCAAACAACAAACTCAAACACTCTCCTTTTTTCTCTACTTTTTTTTTAAAGACAATTTCATTTTTTTTAATTTAATTTTTTTTCCCAGCAAAACAGCCACAAAGAACTAGGTAATTTGCAGTCAACAAACTTTAATTTTCTCCTTTGCAAGTACCCAAATTCAGCATACAATTCCAACAACTTAAGTGTACAAATAGAATTTTAATTTCACCCACAAAGTTCCAAAACACAATCACAACTTGTAGTAATTATAATACCTACTTGGTCGCCAAGTGAAGCATTAGAGCAAACACCTCATGAGCGCAATTTGCTGTCTCTAATTCAGCCTCTTCCACAAGTGCAATTTTTGTTCTCCTTATTCCAATTGCTGCACAAACCCAAACATAACCACACACACACACAACCAGCAGCAAACACTTCCAATTACAACTCAAAACTAGCCCTAGTTAACTAGCTTTGATACCAAATGATGAGGATTTCCCTAAGCCTCTTGAATTTCGGACCTACTAGGACTAGAACGTATCTCGAGCTACAAAACTCGAAAATGGGTGATTCAAAAACGAGAGGAATATTCACGCTGTGAACCTTAATTTTGACTCAAGAATCACTTAATTTGGATTTGTATAACGCAAGATATGGATAAAAGTTATTCTGGGCTTAATTTGGGGTTTGTTTGGAAGAGAATGCTATGAACCATAAAATTCAGAATTGGGAAAAAAATTGAAATTCATACCTTGTAAAGAGAATAAAAGGAAGGAAATATGATAGGGAAGGCGCCACAAACAAGGATGTTTGATAAGCCAACAAGATCGCCACAAGAACGGATGAATTCTTGATAGGATCGGAGGTTGCAAGGAAGAACCCTAGCAGAGAATAATTCTCACTATAATCTGATTTCAATCATATATATCCTCAAAATAATTTCCAAGTGTTTTAGTACAATTCAGTTTTGGAGTTTGTCCATATGGACTCGACATATAAAAACAAAAACTAATCCCTTTAGCACAAACATGATGTATATGTTCAAGTGGTTAAGCGAGCATATTACATCCTAAGGTGTAAGAGTTCAAATCCTATAATAGACAATAAAGCATAATAACATGTTTTTTTACACAAAGTACCAAAATAATTAAAAAGTCTTCCAAAATGAATAAAAAGTCTTCAAAATTCAGATTGAAACTTTGGACTCTTCCTTCATTGTAAGTGGGCTATGCATGTGTACACTTTAGAATTCAAGTGTTGGACTTCATTTGAGTGTTGGGCCTCACATTGGGGTTGGGCTTCTAGCATGGTGCTCAGCATGTGTTGTAGAGCTTCTTGGGCCTTCCTTGATCTAGCTCTTGTCATGAGCCCTCCTAAGCCTTGTAATGGATCTTGGACTGCTTGGGCCTGCGGTTGGTCTCGGACTTGGGTAGTTTGCTCTTCTCAAAACTAGACTCACGCTGTACACGAAATCAAAATTTAGAAATATGGTGATTAGTAACGTCGTGTAAATGCTGCTTACTTTACTATATTTAAAAGTTAAAACTATAGGTATGATTTTCAATTTTATACAAAAAGGAGATATAAGAGTTAAAATAAATAATAATTTTAGATATAAAGAGTAACTTTTTAACAATCAATTTGTCTTGTTCGTAATATTTTTTCAAGTTACATTCTAATATAATTTTTAATTTTTTATTAACATGAGTTTTAATATTTTTATTTTTTAATAATTACTTTATAAACATTAATCAATTAGACTTATACTTTTATTTCAAATTATCATAGTTTATATGCTTTTCATTTTTTTTTCTTAATATGAACATAAATTGATACCATTTTTTATGAACTTACTAAAAAGGCATCGGTACAAGACTTTATCAGAAGAGCATAAGATTGATTGTATTTTTTTAAATATTAAAAGTTGTCTCCAAGAAAATTTTTCTTATGTACTTAGACTTTGCTCTCTCTCACTGTAAGTCTATAAGAACTTGTAAACAATTTTAAATTTCTAGAGTTACATTGTGGACAATGGGTGAGTGGCAATTCCTCTTGCAAGTTGCAATCCATTTTTTTTAGTGTTATTTTTCATCTTGTTGCCAAATATCCATCCTTGTTTGCCACGGAACCTCAAAGACGACCACCTTACCATCACATACATTATCACCATGAAACTTAATGATTTCAAACACAATAACATTGTTTCCAATGTCACACGTTCCTTCAGGGATGAGTTGGTGATGGTCGAGCAAGGTATCAAAAACGAAAGCGTCGACGGTCGCAATGACTGCAAAAGAGTGGAAAGGCTCAACCTGTAACAAGCTACCTAAATAACTTATATATCTGACATTTCACTCGGTTTCCATTGGGTTGGCCTTTTCAGACCCAAATCCGACCGAACCCGTCAAATGCTCAGTCTGACACGTTGATACACTATCGAAAATCCAGCGCACTAATTACTTTAGCTTACCTTTTTAAACTGAATCTATTGGCATTTCTTGTTGACTATGGTAAGAACCATCTCTACCTTAAAATATATACAATCCGAAGCACTTGATTACCTATACCAAAGTTATCCCTATGTTTAGACCAAAGAATTTTTCATACAATGAAGAAACAAAAACAACATTGCCTGTTAATGGTTTTCAGACTTGAAAACTCTTGGATGCTTTCGAGCTTTGGGATGCTTCAAAACGAGCTGTGAACCCAACTGTTGTGTGTCTTATTGATCTCTGCCTCACAATATTAACGTATTCTGGATCGGTTGTTTGCCCATCATTTCTTATCCACTGTATCATTTGATGGAACATAGGGAAGAAGCGCATTTGAATCGAAGCATAGGCAAAATATGGAAGGAGTGAAGCGATAAGCACAAGCAAAGTGATAAGCCAATAAGATGGTGCTGGTGCACAAGCTTCAATTAAGACTTTGTAGGCAGTGGTTGATAGGTAGGGGTCCACGGTTCCATATACTAGGAGGAAAATATACCATAAAAGAATGCCACCCCATATGAGTATATGTTGTATGTAAGTGAAGTAACTAATAGATAATGCCATTTGGAAATTCACCACCCACACAACACAAGTGTACATGGTGGCACCAAGAACATCCAGCCCAACAACTTCCCCTCCTTTACGGAACGCTTGATGCTCCATTGCCTTGATGCAGAAGAAGAATATTATAGTAGCACTCAAAATTCCATTGAATGCCCAACCAAGGATCCGTTTCCAGGTAAATAACACATTTTGTACTCCTTCTTGATATAGTAATGGGAACTGAAAAATGAATTCAAAATGAGTTTATATATATATTTCTAATAAAATTTCAAATAGAATGGAATAATAGAGAAATTGAATTTAAAGAGATACCTTGATACATAATCTAGCCGAGACATCCTGGTCAAACACTCCCAAGGCAATTACAGGAAGAGACGTGAAGAATACATTATATAGTGACAGGAACCAATCATTGTATGCAGCTTGACCCGAGACTGAGGCGTAGATCTCATAGAAGAACAGGGTGAAGCCAAAGACAATGTTTTTGTAAAAGAAGTAGCAGATCTGCCAAATAAAAAAAGAGGCCAACATAGTTAGTTAATTGAAGAAATGAAGTGTTAGAGTAATAGAGAGAAGAATCATATTTGTCTAGATAAATTGCTGTTCAAGTTAGGTATTACCATGTGCACTTAAGTTTCATAAAATATTCATTCCAACTAAAGAACCTATATTTGAAGTATTGTTGTCAATGTGAGATTTCTTATAATCAAATTAAGCATTGGAATAAGTACAGTTTTTAAATTAATATACATTAAATGGAGAAGCCTATGTGTTAATGCGAAGCTTTTAAAGACAAGTTTGTTACCATTGATGAGATTCTTCTGTAACACCAATGCCCATGCACAAGAAGTAAACGCTCAAGAAACCGGAATTGGGCAATTGCAATATCACTTGACATAACAGCCTGAAAATTTAAATGAAGCAAAGAAGAAAGGATTCAAAATCTAACAAGAAGTCAAGAACAAAAGTTAGAAAAAAGGAAAAGTTAAGGGTCATTGTCATAGGTTGGTAACGAAAGCTAAAAGAAAATTTGTCATATTTCAGATTTACCTGCATTCCTTCAACACCACCGATACCAATCCCAATGTCAGCTTCTTGGAGCATTCCAACATCATTTGCTCCATCACCAATTGCTAGAGTTGTATTACCGGTTTTAATCTTTACTAGTCTAGTAACCTGCATTATTATACCAGAAATGCCTTAACAAACTGAACACATTGACATCAACATAGGAGGAGACTGGCGTTGACCTTTATTAGAACATTATTTTGGAGTAAATGTCTATTCAACAAATTTGGCCAATAATAACATAAAATAAATCTTTTTTGTTTAATTTCAAGTATGAATAAACATCAATAAATAAAGGGCAACTACAAACACTATGAAGTCACAAGAAAAACTTACAAGTGCTTTCTGCTTCGGAGATGAACGACAGCAAATAACAGATGCGCAACCAATGGAAAGTGCAAGAAACAGGTCCTTTACATCATCTTCTAGTGCATAAGTGAGAGACTTCCCATCAATGATAAGAGCTAATGCCTCAGAGTTTTCATTAGATTCCGAAAGTAATGTCTTTCCTTCCCTTAACTGACGAAGAACACTTGCCTTAAATGCCTAAAGAATAAAAGGCTTCCATTAGAATCATACATCTATACCCTGAAGTTCAATGGTTAAAGGACTACTTTATTGTATAGTGATGTGCCTTTGTGCTCCACTGTAATAAAGATCACAAAAATATTTTGTCTTGGAATGAAAAACCGTGTAAAGGATTTTATCATGCACGTGCCATGATTTAAAAGGCTTCTCATGCATGTTCTATACTCTCTTTATTTTGCTCATGTCATGATATGAAGAAATTACTGGAGTTGGGGTTCACCTCTGCGGCAGCAGACTTGTCCTCGATTTTCTCCAGTGATTTGGTTTCTGGGGTGTCTGAAGTAATTATAATTTGCTTCATTCCTTGTCTGAGTAAGCTACAGGCAAACCTGTAGTCACATAAAAATTAAATTAATGATATCATATTATTATCACAAAGTATTTCAAAATATATTTATATACTTTGAACTTACCCAATATTGATTGCTGTCTCCATTTTATCACCAGTCAAAACCCATAGCTTAATTCCTGCCTGTGCTAGCTTGTCAATGCATTCGGGAACCTATGTGCACAAACAAATTCATAAGAACACGGAACAATCACAAATGGTTATGACAACATAAGACATGACTAATTTCAAAGATCACACATGTTAACTTGATAAAAGGAAAAGCAAAGCTTTGGCGAATACACAAGCAGTTTCACTCTAGCATTGAATGAAAAGAGAGTGGGCTATGGCTTCCCTTTAATGCCTGAAAGAGAAACACCATTTTATAACATACCCCATTTTGAAGTTTGTCTTCAACAGCAGTAGCACCAAGAAGAATTAAATCCTTCTCAATATTTTCTGATATTTCCTCCACAATATTATCCCGATCCGCACTCACTAAGTTCTTGGCCTCCATGAATTCTTTATTAAATAGATTGTACACTTCTTCATCAAGTTCTCGATATGCAAGTATCAAGGTCCTCAAACCAGCATTAGCATATTCCTCAATGTGCTGCTTAGTCTTCTCTTCAAATTCCCTTCCATTATTTGCAAGTCGTTCAAACATGACACTGATTGTAAAAGCCATAAACAAAAGAAATTTAATATTCTTTTAACATCTGTAACAGATTGGAAATGATACTCATATAGTGTATTTAAGATAGCCATGCACTATACTATATTCAGATTTACATAATAAATTAGGTAATGCTTTCTTTCAAGAAGTAGGTAGCTAAGTAACCATATACCAGGTGTGAATTTACTGTTAGAAAAATGTCTATACTGTACCAAATTTAATCATTTAGTGTAGGATTTAAAATTAATGAACAAGATTTGAAACCTGTCAGCTCCTTTGCTAAGCAGTAGTAGTTTCCCATCCTCATCTCTTACAATTACAGACATCCTCTTTCTTGTACTGCTAAACTCTAAAATATTCAGAAGATTGTATGACCTGCAAAAGTGAAATTATTCTTTTATCCACCACCAATTCAAGTTTAAAATTGCAGATAAATGTAAGATATAAAATTTAAGCTTACAATTACAAGAATAAAAACCTCACCTTTCACTAATCTTGTTTGATTTGGGATTGAACTCACGCATTGAAATAGTAGTCTGAGTCCTTTCATAGAACTCAAACCCAAGTTCTCTGGCTGCAATCACAAAAGCTGCCTCATCGGGTGACTCAGCTTCGTATGAAATTTTACCAGTTTCTTCATCAACTTCAGGTATTGCAGTATGGCATACTGCCAATAACTGCAGGAACTTTTGAATCACATTGGCTTGAGGTTCATTGATCCAATTTCCATTCATGATCCTTTCATCCATAAAGTTAAAACCTTTAATGGATGAAGTTGCTACAGAAATCTTGGCAACATTGCCATCTTCCGTCAACTCTTGACTCAAAGGTAATCCTTTTCCCTTGGCTAGAGCTTTCTCAACTTCTGTTATTCCTCGTCCATATGCAATCCCAGCAATAGAACACTTGATAAATTCCATAGAATTACAAGTCAAAGTTCCTGTTTTATCTGAAAGTATAGTATCAACTTGGCCAAGTTCTTCATTCAAATTTGAGGTACGAGCATGTGCTGGCCGGTCAGTTTCCTCATAATACATCTGCACATCTTGGTTGATGAAAATGCTTTGAAGAACTTTCACAATTTCAATGGAAACATACAAAGAAATTGGAATAAAGTAACTATACAACATAAGCGCAGTCAAGAAGTGCAGAATTGCTGCAATTGGTGCTTTCTTTGGATCAAAGTAAACTGTTGTATCGTCTGGCCTAAGGTACCATCTTTTCATGACTCCATTTTCAAGGTCCTCCCTGGTTGCAATTCCGAAAAAAATTGAACCAATAAAAGAAATAAAAAATAAGACAAAGAACAGAAAGTAGATGATCGTATCCATCCGTTTCTCAACTGTGCTTCTCTTGGATGGAGGGTCTGTGGAATTCTGCATAACCTTTGTATCATGGCCAGTAAAGATTACCACACCATAGACAAAATCTGTGTTCCTCAGCTTTGAGTCCCTTAGCAATAGCTGCTGAGGTGCAAGAGGATACAATTGATCTTCAATCTCCAAATTGCCTACAAATGAGTACAAATTCGCATTTGGATCTTCGCATTTGATTATAGCCTTGAAATTTTGAAATCTTAAGTCTTCTTGCAACTTTGATGTTTCTTCCAGTGCTTGCTTAACTTTAAGATTTGTTTCTCCATCAAGATTCATTGTCTCAACATAGCAAATTGCATCGTCATAGTTAGATGAAAGTAAGATGAGATCTGCAGGGAAAAATCCATCCTTTTCAACCTTTATTATGTCTCCAACTTTCAAATCCTTCCATTTAGAATAGTCAAAAACACCTTCTCCGTCGTGCACTTTAACCTTTCTGTTATTCATCTCGATATCCTGATGCAATAATATACAGACCTAAGAATAATCAACAGCAGTAGGAAAAAGCAACCAAAAGGATTTTCCAGAAAGGAAAAGTTGACTAATACCGGCGCAACACTAGTATATCTAAGTCACATGATGAGAAATGCTAGAAACACACTCTTCATTACTGATTAAAATATATTAGGACTCCTGAAATCATATTATTCTCACTACCTATTTAATGAGTCTCATACATGACTTCATATGTCTTAATAAATTTCAATTAATAGTAAAAAGTGTGTTAGAGAAAAATTTTCTGAAACTTATCACAGAATTTTCAGAATTCACTATAAAATAATGTATCTGGACTGTGGGTACATATTTGAAAAGACAAGAGAATCAACACTAAGTATCAGCTTCTTGCATTCATTTACTCGAATGTGGACATTAAATCCTAAAATAACTCAAAGGCATTAGTCCAGCATTGCCCCTCACAATGACCTTACCACAATAACCCATTAGCTTGCTATTTATAATCAACAGTTAGTTGCTATTAGGAAATGGTATCACTTGTATAAATAGAAGAAACGAGAAGAAAGCAGGGCAGATTGTCAATTGGAGAAAGGATTGTACTCTAAACAGTAGGTAGGTTCTCTCGAATAACCTGGGAAATTCATTCAATCAAAATAAAAAGAACAAAAGTTATTTTTTCTCTTTTACTGATTTTGTTCCTATCATAGTAATACTCATCAGAATTTTCAAAACATCTGTTGACAAAACAACAAAAAAGTGTGTATATCAAAACTCTGTATCGGCCATATTTAATTTTGCTAAAGACTTTAGAGAACAGAATAATATCCTAAGCACAAAATTGAAGAAAAAGTAGATACAATCATTAAAGCACTTACCTGCTTTTTCCTCCTCCAATCCTCAACAGCCTCTTTCCCCATAGTGGCAGCAACCACAACCACAAGAGGAACAACATTGCTGACTGCCGAGTAAGGAGCGACGGGGAAAAAAGACAAGATTGCACAGACAAGGAAGTAAAAATTGGCAACCCTCCTGAATTGCTCAAACAAGGACTTGGGGAGGAAAGTAGCCACTGTGTATTTGGTTGTACTCACATAATTGTCACCATAACTGAGAACACTCCCCTCACCACGTTCTGGTTCATTGCAGTACACTATCCTTGAAAAGCCAGGACCCCCTATAAGTGAATGCTCTCCTTTGAATGAAGCTTTCCCACAAGAAAATGCATGGATTCTACTAAAGTGGTGCCTCTTCCTTCTATGACCACCCATCTCATGCAACAATTATAGGCTCAAGAAATGCAGCTACTTTGCTACTCCAAAAGCTTACTTTCAGTGCAATAAAATACAACAACCGTGCATCATTCAGCTCTTAAAAAAGATCCACAGACTCCAGAATCCTAAGAAAAAAAAAAAACAGATTTGAAAATATTAACTAGTTTGTTTTACTTGTTCTACATAGCATTATTGAACCAGTTAAATGAAATCGGCAAAATGAGATTAACATAAAAACAATTCCTGTTGGAAAGAAGTTGATTATGTATAAGGTGAAAGATATTGTGGTGTTGAACAAAAAATCCACCTGTTCAACAATGATTGAGCCAGAAAAAGACAAGTTCAAATCAATGTCATGATATGAAGGCAAGAATATGTGTGTATTCAGTGTTCAGTGTTGAAAGACAGAACCTTTTAATGAAATTATAACTGACGCAGCATGGAAAATGTTGTTTCTTTCATTGGGTTAGAAGTTGAATCAGACTGCTATCCCAGTTTGACTGGTAGCTAAGAAGGAAGAAAAGACTTCAAACGTCCACATGGTGCTATTTGATCTTCCCTTCTAAAGAGTTCAAAACAATCAACTACCTCAATAAATACTACGATGGGTGTCGCAAATTAGTATCCTAAAATGTCGGCGGAAAAGAATTTTTGTGTTATGAAATATTTTAATTTTTTAAAAAGTAAGTATTAAATAACTTTTAATATAACGAATATATATATATTTTTTATATATTTTAGCTAATGTCATTAATTAGTTTTTTTCATATGTTATTATATTTTTATATTCATTTTCTTTAATATATTTAGGAGCGAGGTTCTAAAAAAGAAAGAGCATTTTTATTTTTAAATTAAGATGGTTATATAATGTTTATAAAAGTAAATATAAAACTAATCTAAAATTTGTTGTAAGAGTTATTTGAATGCAAACTTTTTTTGAAGTGGCTTTTGGAAAAATTAAAGATTGGATGAAAAATGCAGTTAAATATGAAATGACATATAAAAGGACGAACAGATTTATTACAAGACCAATTTAAATGTCAATGGTAACTATAAAACCTCCTGAAAGTTGCTAAACTAAATTAAATGCTAAAAATAAAGTTTGGTATGACACCTAGTACTCTCCATTTATTCGGAATGTAAGATGGGCTTTTTTCTAGAAATTCGGTTATCTAGAAAATATGGCATGAAAAGAACGAAAATATGTAAACAAACGAGTTTCTTTTCTCATTCTACGTTTCCTTTTCCTTTTTCAATGGTTTACCCAAAACAATGTTTAAGAGAATGGGAAATTATTTTATACCCTCATGCAGATTGTATTTTAAAAAGTTATTAAATATTCGTTTAATCTGAATTTTATAATAAATGTAAAATTTAGTTAGAAATGACTAGCAGTTAATTAAATATTTAACAAATATCATAGTATAAAAGATATCAGATGAATGCCGAAGAAATTACTTATTTCAATATAAAAATAAACTACACATGAAGTAATATATTCCCTTCCTGGCAAGTGTCCACACTCCTGCGAATAATCTATTTCACAAACAAATTCAGCGTTGAAAACGTGGAAATTAAAAGGGAGGCTAAAAATTTCAATATTCATAAACATTGTTTATTTTTATTATTATTATTTTTAATTCATTTAGCAATAATTTTTTATTTTTTCAACTTTATTTACAAATAAATTATCAAAAATAATAATTGAAATAAAAATAATATTGTTTTATAATTATTACTGAAAATATGTTGTTCTACATCTATCATAAATGAGAACAATTTTTAAGAATTACTTTTCTTCCTTATTAGATGAGGTCACTTCTTCTGCATTAAGTATTTATTTTTTAATTCAAATTTAATTTTAATTTTTTATATTTTATTTTTAATTTTAAAAACTTTATCTTTTATTTAATTTTATTTAAATAATAGAATATTTATTATTAACAATTAAATTATCATTCATTTTAAAATTTATAAAATTTTTATATGAAAATATTCATATAATATATCTTTGATTTAAAAAAATATATGGGTTTAACAATACATGTATAGTTAAAAAGAATTACTGATTAAAAGTAATAAAGGACCAATTGTCATGAGACTTTGAGTGAGTGGCTATTGTGAAAAGAATAAAAGATATTGATTTTAATTTCCCTTTCCAAAAGAAAAAATAAAAAGGAAAGGCTACAATCTCAGTAGGAGGTGTTCTCAACGGAATGAATTGCTGCCCTTGCTTGGCTCCCTTTTTTGCTAGAAAATCTCCACAAAAAGTTAACTCTTTAAGAGTACATTTTAGCTCCACATCCTAGTCCTTCAGGAACAGAGTCCGAGTAAATTTGATAAAAAGAACTCACACATGAAATTCAGAACAATAAGCTTTCACAAGTCTGATAACTTGCAGGCAATCAACTTTCAATCCAAGTTAGGCAATAAAAGGGACAAACCAAAGATTTTCTATCTAAATCTAAAGTTAATAATACACTTTGTAATACATTTTTTTAACAAATTCTTAATTATTAAATAAAATTTATTAATACTACAATAAAATTGTATATCTCAATTTTTTTCTTAAATTAATTTTTTTCTATTATATTTTTATAATTTTAAACAAATTTTAGTTAATAAAAAAATATATATTAAAAAATACGTTAAAAGAGGATGTAGTTTAACATTTCTCATGAATCTAATTAAATCCAAAAATATAATGAAAGAAGAGAGGTAAAGATTATAGGATAAAAGTGTCAAAAGAGGGCCTTTATTTGTTCTAATTTTTTAAAAATTTTAATTTTAAATAATAAAAATTTAAAAAATTAAATAATGTAACATGTTATGTGGGAGTATTAAGTTAACTCTCCATCAACTACTAATATAAGTGAGTTAATAGTTAGAATTAAATCCTAACTTAACATTTCAAGTACTAAATCTTATTAAAAAAATTTATAAAAAATAATCGTAAAATGTATTATATTTATAGATATCAATCATATAATTAAGTCTTATCTAAATTTCATTCAATAATCACAGTTATCTTGACTTAATTAAATAATTAATTCTTATAAAAGTTGTACTTTTTGAGCTTAGTCCTTATAAAAAAATTTGTTAGGATATATAATTTTTAACTTTTTTAATTTATTGAAAATTTATTTTTATTATTAGAAAAAAAATTAATTTTTACTGTCAATTAAACTATGTTATGTGATGAGTTAAATAACAGAAGTGAAATTCATCATCATCAGTGGATGTTTCTTTTCCTGATTCTTCAAAATTACCCTTATATTCTTCAACAACTAATAATAGTAGCGAGTAAAGTACATTGCGGCAAATACATCACAACTCACTCAATTCCAATTCTTAATTCATTATTTTCCATTTTGATCTAAACGTTGCACTCATTTGCTTGCTTGAACCCATTGGAAACCACTATCTCCTTTCATCAACCACAGTCAAATTCCTCTTTTCCAAATAATCCTCAAAATCCTCGCCAATAACACTTTATTCGTCCTTCCGTAATAGCATCACACACCACACAATCCCAACTTTGAATTTAGATGAACCGCCTAAACTCCATGACTAGTTTTGCGTCCTCCTCACCCATTTGTTCCACCACTGCCATAACCTCAATCATCTTGAACCAAGCACCTCGTTATTCTTTCCTTTTACTCATTGGACACACCGTAGCACCACCATGGTCTTTAGTCCAAAATTCCAAATCTTCATGAACTACCAAACTCTTCATAGATAACTTGTCATGGCTACCACCAATATGATCATAACCCATGACAATATAAACAACCATAACAACGCTTCGTGATCAATTATGCCAATTCATGAAACATTATTGATCAATTTTATTGAATTACACAACATATGAGCTAATGTAAATAAATAAAACATCCTTCATCGAAGTCAAAATAGTACTATATGTGGATAATTTATTATATGAATAAGATCCACATTAAATTAAATGTTACTTACTCTGTATTAATAAGATTTACAATTAATTTCATGCATAACTCATAAATATTTCTAAAACAACAGTTATTTCCTCTTCAATCTATAACATTGTATAATATAAAATTTGTAAAAAAAAAAACTATCTTAACTTTTAAAATTAAAGATATTTAGAAATAGAAGATTGATATTTAAGATTCAATTTTGAGGATTGTAAGATCACTAAGTAAAAACACACTTTTAAAGTTAGTTAAAAATAACATTTAATATCAATTAAAATATTAATATAAATACTATTTTACATTAGTTATAAAAATTGATATAAAAATATCATACTTTTTATATTAGTTATGAACAATCAATCTAGAATAGTGTTCTTCTTGTTAACGATTTTCTATGACGCTAATGTTACTTTGATAGTTTGACAAACTATTTGTTAATGTCATCAATGTTTGTCAATATTTGCTTTGTATTTAATCTTCAATGAGTCTATAAATAAAAAATATACAATGTTTATCGTCAATTTTTATTCAAGATTCAATTTATAATGAGTTTATAAATAAAAAATATATAATATTTGTCAATATCATGTATTAATGGATTGATAATAAAAAAATAAAAAATAAAGAAAGATAAAATTATTAATATACTTAATAAAAACTCGTGTTTGTTATTGGCGTAACCAATAACGTTAACAGAAGTTTGAAAATGAAAATAAAAGTTTATATTTATTAATAACATAGACGATGTGAATGTAAGTTTGTGTTTATGAATAACGTAAATAACAATATTAAGAGAAATTTGAGAATGTAAGTAAGAGTTTATGTTTATTTTCTCATATTTTTGCTATTTCAATGGCATGTGTCTTTCAAATGTTCTACTTTTAATTGATTTTACATTAATTATGAAAGAATCAATTTAAAAAGTGACATTCTACGTTAACTTTAAAATTAATTAATATAAAAGTTATATTTAAATTGCTTTTTATGTTGTTTTTAAAAAATAATCAATTTAAACATATTTTTTATATCGATTATTTTAATAAATCAATTTAAAAAATTTGTAATTTTTTACCTTAATAGATATAAATTTTAAAAGAACATAACTTTTGGTATAAAATTTTAATTTATATAAATTATATATGTATTTTATATAATTTTTTGAGATTTATCCAACTCAGACATCCAAAAAAATTTAAACAAAATTATTTTTCAAAATTTTATTATTTTCCTTATTTTTTTAGTATTTTTTTACATTTTTAATTTAACATTTTTGTAAAAAAATTAAAATTTAAATCAATGTAAAAGATATTTTATTTTATATTTAAATTATCTTAATAATTTATATTAAAAATTTATTATTATTTTCAAAATTATCACCACACTGACCGATTAATTGTCGGCTGTGATAAGGTAAAAACTTGTCCTTTGTTCTTGTAGCAGTGATCATGTATGATTTAAATGTTTGCATGGATCCACAGGTTGTACGGCCATTGGACCGTGTTGAACTTTTATCCACGGTATTAAGCTGATTAAGGGTTTATTTTAAAAGTAAGTTTTAAATATATTTTTTATTTTTATATTTTGTGAATTCTTATTTTATGTTAAAAAATTGTATTTTTTATTT